TTCCTCTCATGCAAATGTACAGTACTTCACAGGGATAAAGTGAAGATCTGTATTGTAAATATGGAAATGGCTAAGAATTCTGGGATGAGATGAGTTAACTACCAGGCAACTGCTTGGTATCGTATTTGCTAGGTTGATTTGGGGTCCAAAATCAGTTGTCTGAAATTTTTACAGTGGAGGTCTGCATTTCATCTGACACACTGATATCCCAGGCTTTTAACACTTCAGTAAACAAACCAATATGTGTTCAGATGAAGAACTCAATTATTTTCATGTTTGCTAAGTACCAACTATCCTGGACAGGTTTGGACACCTCCTTACTCTTGTTCCTCCTGTTTTGTGCAGAAGTGGTTCTCATCTTGCTTTTTGTAGCTAACACTAATTTAACAGACAATAATTGGTGGCATTGAAAATGGATTTTTTTTTTCTCTAGGTCTCTAAGTGTAACTTTTCCCCTGTAAAACACCAGGAAAAACATCATTTCTCTTTTAGTGTCTGAGGGAATCTGGCTGGATGTCTGGGTGTGGGACACGCCGTGTTTGGTAATCGTGGGAGTGGGTCCAGCACAAGGGCAGCAGTTTATTCCTGCATGAGATTATTCCCAGCTTGTGCCATTAAGTGCAGGGATTGGTGGTGCACTAATTAGAGCAGTGCCAGCTGCACAGCCTGTCCCGTGCTGCTGTGCCCCTGCCACTCTCTGTGCGTGCGCTGTTACGGCCTCGCTGCAGATGTTTGCTCCAGATTATTTCAATCCTCACAACTGGCAAATCCCCAAAGGAGCCACGGGAAACTTCTCAAACGAGTTAAATCAGCTTCTGTACAAATCTCAAGGGGCTGGGTGGCACTTTCTGGGCAGGCAGGCTTGTGAAAGCTCTCTCTGCCTGCACAGCAGCGATTGTCCTGTGCAAACACGTCAGGAGCACCCTCAGCAGGGCCTGATTATGTGTGATAAGGAACAGAGAACACACTTGGTTTTTTAAGCTGCATATGCTTTTTAATTTCCCCATCAGGAGATCCACGTGAATGTACTTTCACACAGCTCGTTGGCTAACAGCCCAAACTGTATTTTAATATTTCTGTTCCTGTAGCTGAAGGGGTCAGTGCTGATGTACTGGGACCCAGTTAGCAGTGCAGTTAATGATGCAGATCTTTCTGCCTTGGCTGCAAAGAGATGTTCCTATTCCTGCAGGAATGCAGTTCTGCTGCCTGTGTGTTGATAGCCAGGAGAACATTGCCACCCTTTGGCCGGAAAGCAGAGGCACACGGGGGGGAGAAGCACATTGTGCAAGTCGGGGATGCTGCCGCAAAACTATTTAAGAGTATATTCACTTGTAATGTAACTGCTCAGCAACGGGAGCCCAGTTGGGTGGAGGCTGTAGGCATCATTTGCTTTGATTTAGTGTATTTCTTAGCACGGTGATGTGTTTGGAGAGAATGTATTATGCTACGTACTAATTATGTTTTCCTGAGAACTGAATTGCATATGCATTGTGAAGATAGGATGAAGGCTACCATGGTTACCATTGTGCACCCAGGAACTTATTTTATACGGTGCCAATTAATCTGAGGTAATGCTTGAGAGGGAAGAACATTGAATAAGAAATGCTAATGTCTCAGCTGAAAGATGGAAATTAGATAGAAAAGCACAGCTTTTATTGAAAATTATATGTCGGGGTCAGCATTTATAAATGAATCCACCTGTATGACTAAAACCAGCAGTTCTGTCTTACATTAAAAAACCTGTATGTCCCTAGGCCTAATTGACACCCAGGCCACTGCTGCTTTATCAAGGATATTCTCTCAACTGGAGTTTTTTTCCCTTCTCATGATTTTAACAGCATATTCCTGCAGTCAGGACTGTAATTGGGGATTGCTGCTATGTCAGAAACAGAGTGCATTTGTGTGATGCAAAGACATCTAAACCTTCTGCAGGCTCCAGTTGCTGAGGACAAATCTTGTGCCTCTGGGCAGAGGCTTCCAGATGTGGAGACTGAGCGTGGCCCAGCTCTGACTGCCCCTGCTCCTGGCAGCCCTGTTTGGATCTTGGAACCCTGCTGGTGTGGCTGTTGGGTCACTTCTGTCCCCTGTGCATGGCCAGGCTGGGTCACTTCTGTCCTGTGTGTGTGGGCAGGCTGGGTCACCTCTGTCCCCTGTGCATGGCCAGGCTGGGTCACCTCTGTCCCCTGTGCATGGGCAGGCTGGGTCACCTCTGTCCCCTGTGCATGGCCAGGCTGGGTCACCTCTGTCCCCTGTGCATGGGCAGGTTTTGGTAGGGAGGGAATGCAGGATCCGTGGAAGCTGCTGGAAGGTTCCTCCACGTCTGACAGAGCCAAGGCTCCAGTGTGGGGCTGCTCTGGGGACAGCTCAGCCTGGCAGTGACAGTGGCAGCACATCTGGGCTGATGTGGGATACAGTTTGTGCACAGGAGCAGCTGCAGCTGGAAAAGAGAGGAGAAACAGCCCCACAGACCCCAGGAGGGGCAGGAGCTGCTCCAGGCTCTGGGGCAGAGCTTCCCCTGCGGAGGCAGCTGGGATGCACCTGCAGCCCCGGGAGGAGCCCAGCTGAGCAGGGATTCCTGAAAAAAAGCTGTGTACCCGTGGGAATCCCCCACTGGAGCAGGGCTGCTGGCAGGATCTGTGGCCCTGTAGGGTACCCACAGTGCAGCAGCCTGTTCCTGAAGGGACTGAGTGCCATGGCAAGGGACCCATGCTGGAGCAGTTTGGGAACAGCTGCAGCCCATGGAAAGGGCTCGGTGTTGGAGCAGCTCTTTTGATAATTACATTTATTTTTACCATGTTATAAAATGCATGTGACACTGAACATTTACTCTTTAGAAGAAATCCTTCCATTCCTTTTGATTCCCCACAGTGCAGGACCAGTTGGACTGGAGTTAACTTGGCTGATGTTCCCCTGGGACAGATGAGGGAATCCTGGTACTGAGCATCCTGCTGCCTGAGCAGCATCCCATTCTGGCAATTTCTGGCAAAACAGTAATGGTAACAAACAGCTGGGAGGCAGCAACTTCAGCTCCCACAAATGTTCCAGCAGCTCAAGGCAGCAGCTTTGGTATTTGAGTGATGGAATGTTTATCTTATTGGAAATTTAACTACTAAAATGCATTGGTACCTTCTGCAAGGGTTATTCATTAAACATAGTCTGTTGGCTTATGTGACTTGTAAGTAATAAAATACTTACATCTTTCATTAAAAACTTCTTTGTTGTGCATAGTAAAGCATGAGAATGAAAATTAAAGTAAAGCTTTTTCAACAAAATCCTTTGTTAAAAGAGAATATTTCTTCTAAGGAAATATTTATAAGCCAAATATTTTGGAAAATGATTAGCTGCTGATTCACATCCCATGTCTTGAACTTTGTGCTGAACTAAAAAAGAGCTGCACAGATGTGTGACAAAGAATCAAGTGCACTTCTGCATCTCTGCTGAAGCAAGTTCACATTTAATAATCAAATTCTTGGCAGGAATATTTCTGCAACCTGTGTCATCGGAGCATGTACGAGCTCAGAAAGGAAGTTTATATAATTATCTCATTATCTAATTTCAATAATAGAATAATTGAGTTGCCTAAATGCCTATCAGTGGCAAACCAATGGAGATGGCAGATCCGTGGATGTGAAGAGAAACCTTAACTCGTCGGTCTGATGGAATCTGCCTGATCTCTGACCTGCTCTCCTTCCTGGCTGAAATGTTTGCTTTCTATTCATTCTTGTTAGAATGCTTGCAGTGAATAATTTAATTTTTTCCTGCTGAACCCCCTTTGCAGATCTCCCTCTATCTGTGGCAGCAGCAAAGTTGACTTGAGAGGCCAGCACTGCACCTGCCCAGGTGAACAAACCCTGGGGGCTCCCGGCAGGGCTTGGCTGCCTTTGCCTGCAGGGCAGCTCTGCTAGGAGCATTTTTGGGATGTGGATCCCTCAGGAGAGGTGGGTGAGGCACTCAGAGCATCTGGCTCTGTGGATGGATGGATGGATGGATGGATGGATGGATGGATGGATGGACTCACAGATGGAGCACTTCTGAGTGGCTGAGCAGCTCTGGGGTTATTCAGCAAGCTGGCACAGATTTGTTATCTGTGAGGCAGCCTGCAGAGGGGCTGAGCCATTCCAGCTGCAAACCTGCAACTGAGAGCGGGGAAGGTGGTAGGGAAATACAAAATACAAAATTTAAAAAAAAGCCATATTAATTAATACAAAATACAAAAATTTGTCATATTAATTAATATTAATTTTAGAAGATTAGCTTTTAAATTAAAATCATAAGTAGTTATAGAGGGAGTTTATACATGAGGAAGAAGTAGGACATGGTATAAAAACACCTTGCTTCATTTACATTCCAAATGAAAACATGCAGAATGGTTTTTTGAAATTTAGGGTACTCTTAGAAACTGGGACTCATCCTACAACCAAAAATCATTGCAATAGGACCAAAAAAAAAAAAAATTGTAGGCTTGGCAGTAGCTGTCACAGGACAGTGCCTGCTGAATTATATTCAAATGGATGAAACATATTGATTATTGACCTGTTGAACAGCACATGGATTTATTTTGAAGGAGGCTAGCTAACCAAAAATCATTGCAATAGGACCAAAAAAAAAAATAATTGTAGGCTTGGCAGTAGCTATCACAGGACAGAGCCTGCTGAATTATACTCAAATGGATGAAACGTATTGATTATTGACCTGTTGAACACTACATGGAATTATGCTTTTGAAGGAGGCTAGCCATTGCTTCTAATGGCATTAGCTTGTCCCTCCTACCTCTTCTGCTTTCCCAATTTATGAGTTCCCTGATTTTTGGCAACTTTTGGTTTTGTACTTGGGCTGTATAATTTAGCATCATAAATAGCTGAGACTGGCAAGCAGAGCGAAACTGATAATGGATCCAGAGGTTTCTTTTATGTGCTGGAGTCGTTGTAAACAAGAATAAAACTGATTATTTCAGCAAACAGTCACAAAAATCGGTTTTAATTTTAGATTTTTGTCCACAGCCAATAGAAAGAGGATGGTTTGTATTGGTGAATCTCTGCTGAGGGTGGAAGGAGCCAGAACTGTACTTACAGAGGATTCCCACAGATCTTTGTTCTGTGTGACTGTGGAAAAAGGTGGGTTTGTGTCACCTGAAGGCTCATCTCCTCACTGCTGAGCACTTTGTTTATCCATCTCCAGGGAAGATGCACTTTGTTGTCATGTTTGGTTGTTCAGGGGTTTGATGAGGTCTCCCCAGGCTCAGCTCCATTTGCAATGACTTTAAGGCAGCTCTGTCCTCGAGGCAGGAGCACCAAGGCTCTCCTGGCCCCACTGGAGCGTGTGTAACAGAGCAAGTCGTGCTGCCAGTGAACTGAACCCTTCAGTGAGCAGCAAGAGTCCCAGTGAGCAGAGTTCTGCTCATTTACTCCCTGCAGAGAAATGACATTTGTTCTCCACAGCATTTTCTCCTGAGAGGACCAGTTATTGGCTTATGTCACAAGCAGTCTGCCACTCCTCAGTGGCCGATTCCTCCAGGCATACCTGGATCCCTTTCACTGCCCAGTGATCCAGATTCCACTCTTGCTGACTGCAGGAGTGTGTGGTGGCTGTGAGCTCAGAAATTGTTCCTGAGGATGAGTTAAAGTTCATCTGGTTTTGTGTCTGGTCCGGTGCTGCAAAGTGTGGGTGTGTGTATAAACATGCTTGTAGGGATAGAAGGCTTTAGCAGCCTTTTGTGTTAATTAGCTAATTCTAATTCTAATGTACTCTAATTCTGTCCAGGCCTCTGTCACTGGTACAGACTTGCAGAGCTTGTCAGGATAACCAGAATAGCAACAGATAATCAAAATGGCAAAATTCCCCTTCTTCCTTTACCTGCTGCAGCTGGTTTGAGGGTAAGTAGCAGACAATATATATAAAAATAGATAATATTATATTAGCCTATACATTATTATGTGTAGGGTAACCTTTTTATTATTTTGAAGGTGATTAAAGCAACCAAATTTGAGACAGAAAGTAAAAAATAAGAATGAGAAAGTGATGTTAAAATTTGGTGGCAAGCCTATGAGAACCCCCCACATCCCTGACAGCCCTGTTCCTGGATTCCCTGGTGACATTACATTACTTCCACTCCTGGAATTAAATCTGTGTTTTCTCGTCTGAGTTAGGTTTTAGCATTTCTGCTCTTTGTTGCTTTCTGAAGGAGCCATTTAGGAGATGAACTGTGTAATAATGCAGTGCAACAATTAAATGCTGTGGTGGCTGTTGTGGGGGTGAGCAAACCTTGTTGGCCTGGCTTGGGCCAGGTGTCACTTCAGTGTCACCAGGGACTCACCACTGCCTGGGACTGCCACTGCTACTTCTGAGGCTCTTCTCTATTGCAATACAGTTTTTTTTTCCAGGCTTGAGCAGGAAAATACATAATTCAAAAATAATCAAAAAGAATGAGGAGGTAACCCACTCATGAACTTTGTCCAGCCTGGTCTAAGTTTTTAGCCTTCCTGGTTAAATATTCTAAGCCAACACTTGTGGTGCATTACACAATGCATTAAACAGCTCAATCCCACTGTCCTCTCAGCATCCATAAATTTAGTGTTTGTATTCCTAAAGCAGCTGTTTTCTTCTCTTGCTCTACTTTAGCTCTTCTTCAGAATACAAATTCCAGCTCATTTCCATTTTTTCCAGACCTAACACTTTAAAGTTTTGTTCTGCTGTTTGGTTTTTAACTCTTTAGACCAAAAATTGAGTGGCTTGAGGACCACTCTTTTATTTTTCAAATAAGATATTCCTTTGCTGTTAAATATTTCCCAGTATTCTTGATCATCCTTTTGGCAGGGTCTTCTGGGACAGTCTCTGAGACAGAAGAGCTTGTTCTTCTTCTTGAATTTGACTTGATTGCTTTCATGCAGAACTAATTGCCATGTTTTCACAGGTGAGTCCTCATCCTGGATGCACTTCAGTTTTTACACATCAAAGAATAAGACAGACTTTGGAGATGGAACTTTTAAGATGGGAATTAATAGGGGCTGTGCTTTGTCCTTCAGAAAACTTCAGACCTAAAGTGTTATGGATTTGGCAGTTGAAAATTCTGGCAATAATGGCAGATACTGCTAGCAGCCCTTCCCTTCCCCCACTTTGCTACAGGCCGAAGTCCTCTACAGTAAAGTCTGCTTCTCTTTGAAATCTGAAAAAGATTGTGCTTGTATTACTCAAACAACTCTTTAAAAAACACCGTAAAGTTATAGATACAGTTCTAAATATCTCTCTTTATGCAAAATTTATATACATGTTCACTAAAATAACTAAAAGATCAGCTAAAATTACTGTTCCTTGCTACACATTTACAGCACCATGGATAGAAAAGCTTCCAGAAGTACTTGGGGAAAGATCTGGCCCAGATTTGTAGATTAGGAGTCTGGTACAAAATGTGGGAGAGCCTGTCTAGCTTTTATTAATGCCATCTTCTAACTTGGTCCCTGTTCCCTCCCAGAAGGCCAATCTGTAAGTGTGGAGAGACAGCTGCAGAGCCATTTGCAGCTGGCTGGCAGGCTGGAGAGAAGCACCCTGAATATCTAAAGCTGAGACAAGAAAATATTGTAAAATCACTTCTGGTACACCACCAAGCTCATAGGACCCTTCACAAACAGACCAGGATAAAAATATATTCAATGGTAGCTTAGACTGCTCAAAAAATTTTAATTGGATTTGAGATAAATTTTTGTTACTTTGCCTTGCTGTCGCATTTCAGAAGTGCAGTAATGTTTTCAAGTTTCAAGAGGAAGATGTCCTGCGTGGATGGGACATACAAATTTAAATTGAGACACTTCCTACATAATGAAACCACACACAAGTGTAGGGGCATGAAAAGTGTTAAAATACATCACCAGTAATATTACAGATGATTATATTTGGCACCTGGTGTAGAACATACCTATGAAGAGGAATTACCATCTAAATGACTGAAACTCCCACAGAGATGATGGAATGTATTTATTAGGTGGCTGACATGCTGATAACAAAGACTGATATCACAGTGACTCTGGCTTTGTCAGGTTACCATAACAATTCTCTATTAGCTGTACCCATGAACAGAAGGCTGAGCTGCTGAAAAGGTGGATTGTTGGGTTCTGTGGGTTTTTTTGTTTGTTTTGTTTCACTGCTTAGTTGCTGTTTGATTTTTAGCAAAGGACAGGTATAAATGCCTTGTCCTGGGATGAATTTATGCTGGAAACTTCTTTAGCTGTTGGACAGTGAGGGAGCAGTGTTACTCTGAGGAAAGTGAGTCAGACAAAACCCATAAATTCAGAATAAGCTGCTTTACTTAGTGGGGGTTTATATAACCCAGTGGTGTCCAGCAGTGAAGGGCTCTGCTGGGTGGTGCAGGGAATCCTGGCAGTGCCTGTGTTTGAGGGGATTATCCAGGAATTCCTCCTCAGCTGGGAGTTACTGTGTGATGTATTGCTAGCTTCCTGAGGAGACTCTGCTTATTTTGGTGATGCTCATAGGCACGTGCAATGCCATCTATCCTCAGCCTGTACTTGGCCAGAGGTTAAATCTCTCAGGTATTTATTTGTGGTATAGTTATGGCTTGGTTCTCTTTCCTGCCACGGGAGAAAAGCACAAACCAGTCCCCAGGATTGCCAGATAACTGTTCAAGCAAGTATAAAGCAAAAAAGGCTGGCTGCTATTGTAAACAGAATGTGAAAGGAGTGACAGAGCTCTGAAACTGTTCCTCTGTTATCAGACTGGCATGAAAAGAGATGGAGACTTTACACATTTGCTCTCAAAATCGAAGCGCTCCACTGAGAAGTTTAAAATACTGCCATAAATACACGAGGCTTTATTAATTATGCCTGTATCTATAGTTCCCAAAGCTTTTTAGTTACACAAAAAGATCAGGAAAAAAGCCTATGGCTGAAAATAAAATTAAAATGCTGGTTGGTCAGTAGTGCTGGGAGGACAGTGTGTTTGTAGCCATGGATGCACAATCATGCTGATGTCTAAAGTAAAAGTCCATGAACAAACCCTTGGCCAGGTCTTTTTCCAAGATTAATTTCATATGAAAGTGACAATTTATTAAAAAGGTTTTAAGGAAAGGTCAGGTTCTGATAAAGCTTCAGAAGGGAAGTTATTTTAGGTCCAGCATGATTACCTGATAATGAGAGACCCAGCAGCCTGGGTTTTATGGCATTCATTAAGGGGTGAGAGGAGGAAGATCTTAGGTCTGATTTAATGTCTATTCCTGTCCTCTCCCTCAGAAAACTTCAGGTTAGCAGAGACTGAGAAAGCCAGGAGAAAAACTAAATTATTTTTGCCTAGATACCTTTCATCAAGAAACTTTTTACAAGGGCATATAGTGCCAGGACAAGGGGGAATGGCTTCAAATGACAGGGAGGAAGTTTGAAGTAGATATTAGGAAAAATTCTCCCCTGTAAGAGTGAATATACAAGTTTGAAGTAGATATTAGGAAAAAATCTCCCTGGAAGGATGGTGATGCTCTGCCACAGGCTGCCCAAAGAGCTGTGAAGTGCCCAAGGGCTTGGAGCAGCCTGGGACAGTGGAAGGTGTCCCTGCCATGGCAGGGTGGAATGGGATGGGCTTTAGGCTCCCTCCCAGCCCAAACCATTCTGAGATTCTGACTCCGGTCATGGTTTCACTAGTGCCCAAGGGCTTGGAGCAGCCTGGGACAGTGGAAGGTGTCCCTGCCATGGCAGGGTGGAATGGGATGGGCTTTAGGCTCCCTCCCAGCCCAAACCATTCTGGGATTTTGACTCTGGTCATGGTTTCACCTGAGCCCCTCCCTCATTCTCTCACTGCCTCAGTCACTTCACAGCACTTTTTTTGCAATGTTCCCTCTCTCTCACTGAAGGCACAGGGAATTGCCCAGCAAGGACCAAGATCCCTGACTCTGACACAGTCCCATGTGCCAGTCTGGGGTGGCAGCTCCCTTCTGCATTAACTGAAATCCCTTTCCCCTCTCCCCTTTCCCCTTCCCTCGTTCTTTCTGTCCAAGCAAATTTGCTCTGGACGTGCTGAGGCTGGGAGTTCTGAACATCCTCCAACTTTTCCTGTGGAATCAAAAGTAAAGTGCTCTGCCTTTGTGTGCCACTACAGAAATGCTGTTTGAGACTGCAGAGAGCAGAACTGTGTCATTAGGAATGCAGTCAGAGCCCAGCACAGAGTGGCTCGTTAGAACACTGCAGCAATGAGCTGTTCTCTGAGGCAACAGGCAAATAATACATTCAGATATAGATTTTTCTCTTATTTCATCTTCCTTGGATATCTTTATTTTCAGAGAGAATCACGTAATGCCTTTACACTGATGAAAGTGAAAGCAAAACTATTGGTAAAAGCCCTGGGTGGTGTTTGAAAGCTCCCACTGCAGCCTGCCAGGGCTGGGTTCTGTTGGGTGTCTCTGTGTGTTTGATTTCTGCCTTTAGCAGCTGTTTCAAGTCAAAGAGGCCTTGACTTGTATAATTTAGTGTTGATTTGTAGCTGGGATACATATGTGCTCTAATAAACACAACATCCATTTCAGAGGTCAGAATTGCCCCGCGCTCAGCCTCCCGCTTACAGGGCTGACTCTCATTTACATGCAGCACAGGTAGCAGTGCTCCATCTCTTTCTGGAGACAAGAAGGTGTCCTTAGAGTTAAAAATCCACCCTCTGATTTGCTGCTGAAGAAAAAAATCAAACCAGCTTTGCACTGTAAATGCCATTTAGTGTTTGCATCACAAGGACTAGGGGTGCACAGGGAGTACCTCAGCAGGTGCCTTGGATCTTTTGAGGTGAACAGTGATAAAAAAGTCCATGTGGAAGTTCTGAAAAATATCCAGGGGAGAGAGAGAGAGAGATGTAACAGCTTGTGTTCACAAAGGTGGCAGGGAGGTCATAATGATGTGTTTCTTTTTAGGAGAAAGAAGGCAACGAGGCCACGCAAAGCCAGACCCAGGAGCACACTATCAGATTTTGTAGCTGTTTCCAGGCTCCATCAGAATACAAAAGGAGGCAAATTACTGAAGGCTGTGCTGACAGAGTTCGAGAAGTTTGGGAAATTGTCATTAGCAAAACTCAGGTGGGTCTCCAGCCATGCTGTGGGCAATTATGAATTCATATATTTTGCATCAGTGCAGAATAGTGAACGAAGCAGTGAATTACAGTACACATTTATGGACACTGTCAAAAAGGTGTTGGACTTTTAGAATTTTTAAAATGGTCATGGGCAATGTAACTGATGGATAGATGCAATATATTTCTTTTTCAGATGAGCTTAAAAGCTTTTTTAATCCATTACTGCTGCTTCATTCTTTCCCTCCACCTCTCTTGCACATCTCAAATGAAAATACCAGACGAAAGAAATTCAAGTGTACATTTCTAATCCATGTAGCTGAATAGCTGCAATGGACTTCAAGGACTTCAGCTTCTGTCTTTTGAATACCCAGATGATGGAGACATACATCAAGTCAGACTTGATGACCTTTGTCTGTCTCAGAAAACCAAGAAATCCTTTGAGAATACAAAGTGGGCTTTGGCTGCAGTGAAGTTTGGCAAGTGTTCCTGACTGCCACAGCACATTTGTAGCTAAACTGACAGTGCAGATTCTCTAAACATCCAAGCACAGCCAGGTTTATCACATTCTGCCTCTTGATGTTTGTAAATTAGTCTTGCTTCTCTCTAATAAAAATCCGTGTAGCAGAACCAAGTGTTCAGCAATTCTATGACAGGAGACACTATTATTTTGGAAGCACAGCTATTTTTCTTCAAATTAACTTGTTGACAAGAGGAAAACCATGCTGGAGTCACTCAGAATATTTCCTGCTACATGCCAGAAAAGCCTCCTCTATCACTTGGAATTTTAACATGCTGTGTTTTTGTGGAAGAAAGAACTTTATACACTGACATCTTCATACCACTCACATCTTTATATCTCAAAAATAATAAAAAAAAAAGAACAAAACTGGGGGTCAGTTCATGAGAGCAATTCCAGATCTGCTGAGGGCTCAAAAATCAGCTTTTGTCCCAATATTGACCAATCTTTGGGTTGATATAATTCTCAGTTTAAAGGCTTAAATTGCTTCAAACTCTTGGTATAAGTTTCCCAGAAGATAAAAATAAAGATTGCCATATGTGTTATATAAGATTTAAAGCTCTATCCTGAATTAGATTAAACTAAAATCAAATTGACATTGTTGTTTTAGTCGTGAGTGCTCTGATGGTGGTTTGATATTATGAAACATTACAACTGAAGACCAAAAAAAGAAAACAGTGTTCAATCAGTTTATCTACTTCCACAAAGAAAGGGGAGAAAGAAAGGGGAGAAAAAGAAAGGGGAGAGTGACAGAACTGCTATAATTTCCTTTTAATTAAAATCCTCCAAATTATTAAAGTGTGTGGAAGCTTTATGCAGGTGCATGGCCAGTGGCACTGGATGAAAAACAACTGCAATCCAGGCAGGGGCTTTGCCCTGCCCCTTCCAGAGCCTCCTCAGACCTTCAGCCCTTCCCCAAACCTGTGGCTGGGAGCTGTGTGTGCACACAGAAAAAAGAAACGCCTGTGCTTCCATAAATATATATATATATAAAAAAGAAAATAAAAAGGAAAAATAAATTAAAAAAGCAATCCCACCCATAAAATTCAGATATTTCTGCAGTGCAGCTCAAACCCCAGAGCTGCAGCATCAGAGAGGGGATGGACAGGTGGGTTTTGGTTCGAAGTGCAGGACTTAAATGAGAAGTTAGCCATTTTAAATGAGAAGTTAGCCATCTTAAATGAGAAGTTATCCATCTTAAATCAGAAGTTATACATCTTAAATGAGAAGTTAGCCATCTTAAATGAGAAGTTAGTAATCTTAAATGAGAAGTTAGCCATCCTGGAGCTGTGTCCCTCTTCCAGCACTGGAAGTGCCAAAAGCAGAGCTGTTCTCAGCACTGGTGCTGCTCAGGAGTGCAGGCTCTGCTGGGGCAGGGGGAGCCCTGCTGCTGGCCTCCCTCCAGAGCCAAGCAGGGATTTTCCACCTGTGCTTCTCTCCGGCAGCACTTAGTGGCATGAAAAGATTTGATTTGTAAATGTCTAAGGCAATAGACTTCATCTTTATGGTGCTCAGAGAGGGGAAGTGTGAGGCACTGAATTGCACAGCTGCCTGCAGAAGAACCGCTTTCTTTTCCAAGATCACCATTTATCAGGCAGATGAAACAGGAATATTTCTGTGAGCATTGTCTCAAGAGCAGCACAGAATCTGTCTGCCACCTCCTCAAGCATGTGCAGTTTTAATGAGTTTCCACCTGCCAAAAACATATGAAGTTCTGCAGACTCCTTTGCCCTCCTGCTACACCTTTATTTCCACTTGTTAAAAGCTGATTATTCTAACATTCACTGTAAGTAGTGGGCTGAATTCACTAGATAAAGAATCACTCAATAATCAGCTTCTCTCCCTCTCTCTCTCTCTTTTATTTACTCTCTCTCTCTCTCTCTCTCTTATTTATTTTTTTTTTAAAGTAAAAATCAATAATCAGGTTGGATAGAAGGAAAAATTCCAAAATTCCTTAATTGCAGGAGTGGTCTGGCATTGGGATGAGCTGCCCAGGGAAGTGGAGGAACCACAAACCCTGGATGGGTTCAATAAATGAGTGGAGCTGGTGGCACTTTGCCCCAAAACCACCATGCCCACTCAACCATCTCCAGGAGGCTGGGTTTGGTCACCTTGGAGATGTTTTCCAACCTTAATAATCCTGTGATCACCCTTTGTATTAAGCAAGAATCGATATCAGCAATCACTTTGGTTTTGGGGTGTGGACAACCAAAACAATTTGTGTGTATAAATCTGTCACACCAGGGAATGTGTGGGGTGTGACAAAGACAGCTCCAGGCCCAAAATGCACAGACTGATGGCAAATTTTAGATATCTGCAGGTGTAAACAGTAAAAACCCAGATAAAGAATCACTTGGAAAATGATTTATACTTCATAAAACAGCATATTTGGACAGCATAGAGTGTTTTTAGTAGGACACATCTCCTAGCAGCTGGGAAGGTTTAAATGGGAAATCATTTAAGGCATTAAAATCCTCTTTATTTAACTCTCTGCAGATGCTCCCAGTGCTCAGGGGTGCTCGTGCTGCTCTCAGAGGTTCAGGCGTTGGGGTGGGTGGGAATTCTGTCTGGGAAATGGCAAAGGATGTCAATCTAAACTTCAGCAGCTCTCATCCCACAGTGAAGTCAGTTCAAGGAAACAACAAAGGGCATAAAATTACAGACAGAGCAGCATTAATAATTAAAAAAATTATTTCAGTGACTACAATTGAAAAAATGTATGAAAATTTAAACTGAGCTAGACAAAGAAGATAAGATTTTCCTTTAATAACCCCATCTTAGATATTGATTGCTATTTTTCTTACAAGAGTTTTGCCAGCTATCTGAAAGGAACTGTCCTTTGAGCATAAAACCAGTAGAGACCAATTAAATCACAGAACATCCTCCAGTAACTTACATTGGACAGCCAGAACTAAAATATTTTTAGTGCAGCTCAGGAAGTCAGAGCATTCTGAAATTTCATACTCTGTTTGATCTTTCTGCAGATAAATGTGGAAGGCTCAGAAGAACTAGCATTTATTTGAAAAATTGCTTTTTATATCCAGCAATAAAATATGCAAATATATAAAGTCTTTCCCTACCCCGTGTTTAAGTTATCTGAACCAGTTCTCCATGTATTTCTTTAGATTTTAAGTCAATTTTAATTAAACGTTTCACATCTCACGAAATCAAGAGAGACGTCTCAAAACTTCAGTCAAATATTTGAAGATAAATTTCACAGAAATACAAAACTAAAACTTGAATAAGTTACTTTTTCTGTCAAAGCAGCTTTAGGCACCAAGTTTCTCAGAATCTTTAAAATATCCCTAGATTATGATGTTGCACAGAGTGTCCAAATTCTTTGACAGTGTTAGCAAGTAAGAATCAGAAACATTTATTGTTTAAGGCAGCTTCCATAATATATTTGGACAAAAATGGCTTTATTTTTTTTCAAGCATATTACAGGGGCTTTTCAGTCAAGTTTTTGGGTCTGTAGCTGTCTCTAAAGGCTCCAGTGTCCATTTCTGTGCTTTTGAGAGGTCAGTCAGAGTAAACCCTGAGCAGTGAATATCAACTGTACTCCAGATTAACCCACTTCTGGTCACTTTATAATTTGAAAAGATTGAAGGAGTTTATAATTTGACTCTCACTTAAGAAACACAGCTAAATATTGGATAATAATAATAATAATAATCATCATCATCATCATCATCATCATCATCATCACCTAACTAATTCTACAGGAGCAGCAGCAAATGCTAAACCCCTCCCTGGCATGGCTGGCTTTGGGTGTGACACCGTTAGTGGCTGATTTTTCTGCTGCTGTCCAACTCTAAATCCAGACTCTGCAAGTTTATGTGGATAAACTCTTTCTTCTTTCTGAAATTGGAAAAATTCGTTCTACTGCGTTCTTTCCTGAGCTTTATTCTGCTCTCCACAATGTTTATTCTGTCAGCTGCAGTCTGAGAATCTCATGGGTCCCCTCCTCTCCCTCCTGAAATACCAGACTCCTCTCAGCCCTTTTCTACTCACCTTCCTATCTGCAGTCCTCTTGAATTCTCAACTTTTAACTTCCATTTCTAAAATTCCTGCAATTCCTCTCTTCCATTCCTCCCCATTTCTCAAGAGCCCAGTCAACTGCCAGTGCAAAAAGAAAAAAAAAACCCACTTATTTCTTTCTTTACAGTGCTGCAAAGCCTCAGCTCTGCCTGCACATCACAAAGGTCCTCTTATCTCCCCAGTTCTGTGCTGTCAGCACATAGCAGGAAATCTGAGCAATCTGAGCAAGCCTCAGATCTCCATCACAAACTGCTCCGTGTCCTTTGCTGCTGCTTGGCTCTCAAACTAAAGTTCCCAGCCCAAGGGCACGGCAGCTGTTGCACTTTTAGGCTTCTGTCCCTTCTGTAAGTTACTTTTTCTGTCAGAGGAAGCTTTAGGCACCAAGTTACTTGGGATCTTTAAAATATTCTTAGATTATGACACTGCTCAGAGTGTCCACATTCAGATCCTGCCTGGTTTGTCCCCCACATCAGCAGGGGATTCAGAGGAGCAGCAGCTCCCAGCCCTCTTTCTGCACCCCTCCTTCCAGCCTCAAGTAGGAAATGCTCAAGCAACTCAAGCTCAGTATTTTATACCCAAGGGGTGTTAGACTGAGGAAGGATAGAAATTGAGTCTGCCCTTTATCCAAGTGGAATTGTGGGCAAAACTCACACTTTCACTGCAGCTTTTAAGATGATATTTGTCTTTAATCAACTTTAATAAGAAAACGGGGGAAAGAGCTTCAGAAACACCAACCCCCAAAACATTCTGGTTTCAAAAATTAATGGGGAATATTTAGTGTGATATGCATTTCCCCTACAAAGCATGGTACAGACAGTTGGAATAACTGCTGCACCCCAGGCTGGCAAATTCCCAGAGCTTTCCCCTTCCTGCCTGCCCAGTCTGAGCAGGTTCATTAGGAGTCTGCACAGGCAGTTGCTGTGTGAGAACAGACAATATCCAGGCAAAAACACTCATGAAGGGCTCGGTTTCATTACCAATGCTGCCCAGGAATTAGCTGGAGATCTTAGTCTTGTGGTTTAGAAAATGTGGACAGGTTTTCGTGGGGGCAGCAAAGGCAGGCAAGTGCTAAAGTCCACTGAGTGTAGTTTCTGCAGCAAAGTCTTCCAAAAATCAAAGGCTTGAGAGAATGAAGGGAAACTGAAATCCACCCTGAAAATATTCCCCAAAATAAAATAAACCCACAATAATATACTGCTTCCTTAGGTTAACTCTCAACTGCTTTGGCTGAAATAATCAAATAAACTGGAACCCAGCATCACAGGGAATCTGGCTCTGTGTGGGTGTGTGTCTGAGAATCTAGAAAAGCCATGCAGAATGGAAAAATTCACATAGCTGCTCGGCAAAACTGGGAGCTAGTGAGAACTGCTTGTTACTAAGAAAAGTATCAGAAAACCTTAATGAGGGTCCTGCTGCCATCCCCACTCCAAATGTTTGTGCTACTGAGGCAGACAGCAAAGAACCTCAGCCTGACGGGGCTCTGTGAAATAGTGCAGGACTTCAGCTCCTGGGAAATGGAACCCTGCTCTCATCCCAAATGGGGTTTTGGGGGAAAAAAAACCCCAAACCCTGAACCCCCTGCACAATCTCTGGTGTGTTTCTGTGCCTTTATTTGCATTGTCTTTTCCCAAAAATCTCTCTGCAGCAGGACTGGACGCCCCAGGGGAGGCATGGGTGATTCTGTGATGCCACATCTCTGCTGCCTTACAGAGCTGCTCATGGCCCTCAGGAGAGCAGTTCAGCTGCAAATCCCTGCTTCCAAATGCATTTTGATTCTCAGGGAATGCTGCTGATGATGCTTTTGTTGATAAGAAAATCAGGAGATTTTCCCAAATGTTTAAAGTTCTGCCACAGTGGAAATGACAGTGAGGGAAGTGCCTTGGGAAGTGAAGCATTTGTGAGGGTTTTTCTGGGGTCACAGAGGTTTGTGTTATTGGAAGGACAAGGAAATGCAAGCTGATCACAAAAGTACAACTTAAAAAAAAACCAAACCAAACAAAAAACAGCAACCCAGAGGGATAAAACTGAACATCCCAAAGCACTACTTTATCTGTTCCACATGAGCTTGAGTAATCTTGAGGATATCCTGTGCTTCAGTCTTAAAATAAAAGCCCCAGTGCCAGTCACTCCTGAGAATAAGGTAACTCAGTAAATTAAGGCAATCCAAGCTCAGTATTTTATACCCAAGGGGTGTTAGACTGAGGAAGGATAGAAATTGAGTCTGCCCTTTATCCAAGTGGAATTGTGGGCAAAACTCACACTTTCACTGCAGCTTTTAAGATGATATTTGTCTTTAATCAACTTTAATAAGAAAACGGGGGAAAGAGCTTCAGAAACACCAACCCCCAAAACATTCTGGTTTCAAAAATTAATGGGGAATATTTAGTGTGATATGCATTTCCCCTACAAAGCATGGTACAGACAGTTGGAATAAAAATCCCTCATTCCACTTTCATTACTGAGGCAGAAAAGCAAAGCAAATGGGAATGGCTCTGTAACCATAGCAACATTTGCCATTATTATTTTTTCAAAGAATTTCTGAGGCTCTACAATTTGAATTCGGCATTCTGAGGATAAAGTTTGCATCAAGGAAAAGAATGGAAGAACTTTATTTGGTTGCAGGCCCTAATGGCAACTTATAAATTTATTTCTTTCCCCCTAAAGAGTAGTTTTAAAAAAAAGTCACATGCAAACAGTAAGGAATATAATTTCTTATAATTTTCTAAATACAGTGTAAGATGTATGTAAGTCTCAGCAGATGGGTGTAGAAATTATGACTCCATGAAAACATGCTAATTGAGAATGGTCAATTAAAGGAAATTTCCAATAATGGCAGGAAGTGTGGAAAATTAATTATGGTTTCCATACAGGATATATTTTTCATAATCCTGAATATAAATTTCCTGGGTGCTGTTGCTTGGGTCAAGTACAAGATCCTTTCTTTCTCCCCTTCACCTCAATGGGCACATTTAATCTCATCTTGCATTTATTGTGAATAATTGTACTCACAATAACTTAGAAGCACAGCCAGGTACTTGAGAAGGAGTTGGAATAAGTGTGAAAACAATCATTCTTAAAATACTGTAGAGACACATCAAAACAAAACAAAAAAAAAGGAAAACAAACCAAAAAACCCAAAGCCACCATGAATAAGAGTCAGGACAGATATTTAACAGAACCAGAAGAAAAACCACAGTTGGAACATGACTTATTTGTTATATTTTATTCCATGGCAGGTGTCAGCAGGAACAGCACTTCTTGTGCTCCACTTCAATGGGAAGGTTGACACTTAAAAATGTATTTCAATCAAATCACGATTGATTTAATGAACATTAATCAGATGCAGACGACTGTGCCAAAATATTAACTTGTTAATTGGAATAATTCACTGCAGGCAGGAAAGCCACCTCATCTTCAAACGAGCTGCTAGGAGATACAGCTGACCAGAGAATTAACTCTGCCCAGGACTGATGCCACAGAGCTGCAGACTGCAAGGGGAGCCAGGCACCAGGTAATAATGCCTCTACCTCCAGTCTCTTCTTCATCTTTCTCTTTTGTGCCTGCTCCAAACATAAATAACTCCTTGATGGGTAGGCACAGCAAGCTATTAGGTCTATTGTGCTAATGATCTGCAAATTAAACTGTAGCAAACCCAAAGCCTCCATGCTGAAGTTGTTAAGACCTTCTCTGTCAATAACCTGCAGAAAATGAATTACACAATTATACCTCAGTGCAAACTGTAATGACTACAAATTACAGCAGTAATTGTATTATACAGCAGTGATTTGATTCATTGCTTACAAGGCATAATTAATAAGCTGAAATGAGATTATCTCTATATTCTATCTTTAGAGTCTATTTTTTCCAAGGAGTAATTTGTGAGGTTTTTTTTTTTTTTTTTTTTTTTTTTTCCCCCAACATCTCGTTGCTCTGTCAGAAATATTTAATGTGGGTTTTTTTGGGTGAAAGTCATAGAGCATCATCTTAAATTACTGAGGTAACTCTGGTAGGGTCTGTAAAGAATCAGAAGGCATCACTGCTCTCTGGAGATGAAACAGAGAGATAAACAGAGATAAATAGAAGGCAATCTTGTATGCAGAGAGCTCTTTGAGGGTATCTGTTGATGAGCAAGGGCAGGGAAATGACTAAGGCAGATTGCATTTGCATTTCTGTTAGATGACAGTTCATTTTCATTTCATTGATTGTTTTTAAGTTAGGATAACAAAACAGCCTTTATTATTTCCCATGGGAAAGAGAATTAGAAGGAAAGGTTTGGGAGCACTATTGCACAAGAAATGTAAACCAGAAAGAGACAGAAAAATACCTTAGCTCAGGACTGTGGGAAATATGTTAAAGGTTCCTGATGATGACAGAACAAGTGGAAATGATCATGAACAGCACTCCCCCAAATCCTTCATGTACTTGCCAGTATTTCTCTTTAAAAGTCTGCTTTATTAGGATGAATTTAAATACCGAGAGGTGATGAACTGAGGATAACAAAGGGGTAACACATCAATGCTCTCACCCTGTCCCAGTGAGCACCTCTATTCATTCCAGTCAGGGATTTAATTGGGACTTAGTTGCTGGGTTTGATATTGTTGTTAATAAATGTTAAATAAATGAGCTTCATTTTATAAACCTACACTGTTCTGCTCATTACAGAAGTTTTTCTAGAAGCTTCAAGCTTGAGCTTTCTGTTCTTAAGGGCAATATGAAATAGCAGAGCTGCCATGGAATGCAGTTTATCCTCCTGGTGCAGTCAAATGAAGAAAATTTGGGAGCTCCAGAACCTCCTGGGAAGATAAGGCTCATAGAAACAAAAGCTTTAAGAGTTCTCTGGCTGCTATTTTGCTCAAAGGTAAAAAGCCTATTAATTTGTTATTAGAATAATCTCCTTCATCAAAATGCTGATTCAGCTTGTTATTTATTAGATGATTCCAATGAAGATTATGAAAATCAGGAAAGGAGCCAGAACAGCAATCAGCTCCATTTTGCAATAAACTAAAGAACACCTGGTACTTTGCAACTTTGTCCTTTGATAATCTGGAAACCCGATTTTCAGCATCTAAACTCGTATGTTGGTCACCAGCAGAAGCTCTGTTAGTTTGTTTTTCTTTGCTCTGTGCCTTGAAAACATTAAGAAATCTATATTAAAATGTTAATATGAAATTCCAGTGAAAAGCCTGAATTTCTGAATGCTTGTATTTTTCCATAACAGTCTCTGCAGTTGCACTCAAACAGAGAGAATAATCTGGATGTCAAATATTTGACAAGTCAATTTGAGCAGAAGTAGGTAACTGTGGAGCCAGGAATTATTTTCAGTAATTGATAGCACTTTATATCATGAAAATTACATACAAAAAACATAATTTTCAGCCAAAGAACAAGGCTTGATAAACCCTTAATTTTATTAAGGATTCTTTCTTCTCCCCTCACATATTTATCTTTAAAATTTCTTACTGCTGTCAGTTGTATTTGCTGTCACTGTGTTCAGAGATTTTCCTTTATTCTCCCAAACACAGATAGCCAGGTTAACTTCGGCCACCAAACACAAGAGATTGAAAAAATCCAGCTATTTCATTATGAAAAAACAGAAATATCTTGGTGATTTAGAAGAGGAAGTCTCTTTACCTTACAGTAAATCAAGCTTGTGGACACATTAAAAGAAACTTGGAAGGGAAGAAAACTTTTAAGTGCAAAATTGTTTTATGGTTTATTAAAATTATTGACTGTGTAAGGGTGAGGAATGTGTTCTCAATGCAAATGGCATCATGAATGCCTGTGAGTTCTCTGTCAGAGCAAAATCCTCACAGGACACACAATTCCCCCATCCCTAAAGAGGCACAGGCAATCTCCCTGACCTGATCAATCCCAAATCTTTATCTGGGGACAGCAGAAAATGCTCAGCCACGGCAGTGAACACACGCTGGTTGCTCCAGGAGACAAAATCTTCCACCCACTCTGCGGGGTTCGCTGTCCAAGGTACTGATTTTTGGACAGCAGCATTGAAATTGTAAATAGGAACCACAAAAAGCCCTTTAAGATCTCCACCCCAAATTTTTGTTCTCTCTCAAAAGCAGCATCACCATTTAGTGTATTTTATACACTGGCTTTTGCAGGACTCTGTTCAGATGAAAAGGCTGAAGTCAGTGCAGTTTTTACCCCTAAATTAATCTGATGTTCTCTCAGGTCTGATTTTTGACCACAATGTGAGAAACCAAACAAACTACAACCAACCAAAAACCACCCAAACCCCAAAACCCTGGCTTGAGTGGCTCCGTCCTCCCAGGAGGCTGCACAGCAGTAATTGGCACAGCAAAAGCTCTGCTCCATTCAAATTTCTTTTCTTATAAAACAGAGATGAGAATACCTTTGAACATAATTCAAATAATTGACTGTCTGCATCTATTTTTGTTGATATATGTCAACCAACAGAGCTGTAAGTTAGCTAAAGCAATTCTAAAACAGAAAAGAATTCTATCCAGAGCAGCCCAGTACATGAAGTAATTATTTTTATGCATGCTACCTCAGAAGTATTATTTTCTATTTCACAACAATGCAGGTACCCTACAACACAAAAAGAAAATCAAGGAACTACAGCTGCAAGTAAAGTATATTGCAGCCACTGTGACATGCAATTATACATGCTACCAATTTCAGCTTCCAATTTTAGACTAATGAAAAATCAAAGTTCACTGAATTACGCTGAAAAGACTTCTAGGTTGAAATTCAATTGAATGATCCACGAGGTAATTCTTTTTCAGAGCTGCTTAAACAGGAGTGTAATCAGCAGGATATGGGACTGTTGAAACAGGGAAAGTCACCAGTCCTGAATCCCAGGACAGGGTCCTGCTTAAACTGGGATTTCTGTGGGAGCAGCCAGGTATTTCCAAGTGCAGTGCAGGTGTCTTTCAGTAGGAAAAACTTCATATTATTTTACTTTTCATTGTGAAATCAGCAAGAATTCTGCTGTACCCATCTGCACAGAGATTCTGTCTGTCAGTTTGAGGCCCTGGCATGGTGCCCAGAGCAGCTGGGGCTGCCCCTGGATCCCTGGAATGTTCCAGGCCAGGCTGGACAGAGCTTGGAGCAGCCTGGGACAGTGGAAGGTGTCCCTGCCATGACAGGGGTGGCACTGGATGGGCCCTTCAACCCAAACCATTCTATGATTCTTCATTTTTAACATCCAGTGATGGAAATACTGCAGCTTTTCCCATTCCCTTGTTCTTAATTTCCAGGTTTTCCATTGAATTCTACAAGCCTTAGGTAACTCCAGCTTATTCTGATGCATTTAATTTATAATAGTTCACCCACTGTGGTTATTTATTTCTGAATCTACAATAAATCTCACGTGTTCTGGTATTTCAGGGTCACAAAAATAACACAATGAAGCCATCACCACCCAGCATCCCTCTCTAGAGGCAGATATGGAGGTCCATATTTTCTGCTCTCTTCTGTGAACACACCATTCCTTGGGCACAAAATGCCCCCACCACAGCTAATGCAGCTCCAGCTTTTTTTCCCCCTCCTTCGTTTTGTTCATTATTTTTTCAACTGTTGAAAAGAGTGAACAAAATCAATACAAAAATATATTACACAAGCAGTAAACACTGGTCAGCTACTTGCACTGATTAGGCAAAACTTGATGCAGTTGAATTTGAGTTTCACTGGGAATCTAAAACTTAAATGGATGGAAAATTGTGGTGATGCATGCTTTATTTTTACTTGTTTGCAAAAAAAAAGGCCTTAACTTTATCAAACATTATGAACACTTTCACTGCTGACAACCCTCTTCAAACATCAACTACTGTAATTTCCCCCACATTTGCATAATACTGGCTGATTAAGCTGACAGAATTTTCTTTGCTGCTTGCTGCAGAAATCAAAAATAAAAACACAGTGTTAGCAGTGGTTTGCCCTCCTAAGATTTTCACGTTGGAGTGTGAGAAAGAGTGAAATGGCTAATCTGAAACAGATAGGGGAGTATTCTCAATTATTAACCCCCTCATCCTAGCAGAATTTAGGGCTGCAGCCCTGCCTGAAGAGAAGCACTGGATTCCCTCTTCCCTCACTAAATTACAGCCTCTCACCCTGATCATTTATTTCTCAGAGGAGCTACAAAGCCTCAAGGCCTGAATTGTCTGGCTGTCACATGAACACAGCTCGCCCCTGGGTTATTGCAATGTATTCTCATGTATGTTATTTCATGTGTTATTTTCCTTGTATTCCCCTGTGTTATTTTCAGTGTATTCCCCTGTGTTATTTCATTTATTGTTTTCAATGTATTCCCTTGTGTTATTTCAATGTATTCCCATGTATGTTACTTCATGCATTATTTTCAGTGCATTCCCCTGTGTTATTTCAATGTATTCCCATGTATGTTATTTCCTGTGTTATTTTCAGTGTATTCCCCGTGTTATTTTAATGTATTCCCATGTATTATTTTCAATGTATTCCCATGCATGTTATTTCATGTG